ACTCACCTTTACTCACCGCTGGGTCACCTGACCCACCTTTACTCACCGCTGGGTCACCTGACCCACCCTTCACCCACTCACTAACCTCCTTTTCCCCTCTCTCTCCAAGTGAGGTTCTTACCCTCATGACCTCTGCCCGTCCTACCACCTGTCCTCTGGACCCTATCCCCTCAAACCTCCTTCAGACTATCGCTCCTGATATTCTACCGTTTCTCACCCATTTCATCAACACTTCTCTAACTTCTGGTCACTGTCCAAACAGTCTCAAGGAGGCCAGAGTAAACCCTCTCCTAAAGAAACCCACTCTCAACCCATCTGATGTTATAAACTACAGGCCTGTCTCTCTCCTCCCGTTCCTGTCTAAAACACTTGAACGAGCTGTCTTTAAACAACTCTCCTGTTATCTCCATCAGAACAACCTTCTGGATCCGCACCAGTCTGGTTTCAAGGCAGGTCACTCCACAGAAACTGCCCTCCTTGCTGTCTCTGAGGAACTGCACACTGCTAAAGCAGCCTCCCTCTCCTCTGTCATCATCCTGTTGGACCTGTCTGCTGCATTCAACACGGTGAACCATCAGATCCTCCTTCGCACTCTCCAAGAACTTGGAGTTTCAGGCTCTGCACTCCTCACCTCATACCTCAAAGACCGTACCTACAGGGTAACTTGGAGAGGGTCCGAGTCCGACCCTTGTCAATTAACTACAGGGGTCCCTCAGGGCTCTGTCCTTGGTCCCCTCCTCTTCTCTCTGTACACAAACTCGCTCAGATCTGTCATTAGCCCGCATGGTTTTTCATACCATTGTTACGCTGACGACACCCAATTCATTCTGTCTTTTCCCCGCTCAGAGACCCAGGTCGTCGCACGCATCTCTGCTTGTCTAGCAGAAATCTCTCAGTGGATGTCTGCTCGCCACCTCAAGCTCAACCTTGACAAAACTGAACTGCTTTTTCTTCCGGGAAAAGAGTGTCCCACTCTTGACCTAACAATCACCATCGGCCCCTCTGTTGTTTCCCCGACTCAGACTGCAAGGAATCTGGGAATCTAGATAACAAACTTCACTGCAAACATCGCTGCTACAACCCGCTGCTGCAGATACACTCTTTACAACATCAGAAGGATACGTCCCCTCCTGACCCAGAAAGCGACGCAACTTCTGGTCCAGGCTCTCGTCATCTCACGCCTAGACTACTGCAACTCCCTCCTGGCTGGTCTGCCTGCATGTGCCATCCAACCTCTGCAGCTCATCCAGAATGCAGCGGCTCGTCTGGTCTTCAACCTTCCTAAATGTTCCCACACCACACCGCTCCTCCGCTCCCTTCACTGGCTTCCAGTAACTGCTAGAATCCACTTCAAGACACTAGTACTTGCGTACCATGCTGTGAATGGATCTGGCCCTTCCTACATCCAGGACATGGTTAAACCATACACCCCAGCACGTGCACTCCGCTCTGCATCGGCCAAACGGCTCGCTGCACCCGCACTGCGAGGGGGACCCAAGTTCCCATCAGCAAAAACACGTGGGTTTGCTATCCTGGCTCCAAAGTGGTGGAATGAGCTCCCCATTGACATCAGGACAGCAGAAAGCTTACACATCTTCCGGAGCAGACTGAAAACTCATCTCTTTTGACTCCACTTCGAGCGATAGAACTACTAACAAAGCATTTATATACTAATAAAGGACAGGCTTATCTAAAGCTAGTTGAGTAGCACTTGAAATGTTTTGGCTCTATGAAACCTGATGTACTTATATGATTCTGTCTTCTTCAAGTTTGCATCTTCTTGGTCGAATGCACTTACTGTAAGTCGCTTTGGATAAAAGCGTCAGCTAAATGCAATGTAATGTAATGTCTCACACTGCGAGAGACACACAGGAAACTTGCAAAATCAACTTTCTGATGCTTCGTACTGATAACAAAATGACTCAACATTTTTCTTACTTCACACACACACGCACACACACACACACACACACACACACGCACACACACACACACACACACACTGAACTCAGTGACATAATTTCACTGATGAACCTGGCTGAATGACATCATGTCTCACACTGCGAGAGACACACAGGAAACTTGCAAAATCAACTTTCTGATGCTTTGTACTGATAACAAATAGACTCAACAGTTTTCTTACTTCAAACACACACACGCACACACACACACGCACGCGCACACACACACACACACACACACACCACACACACACACACACACACACACACACACACACACACACACACACACACACACACACACACACACACACACACACACACACACACACACACACACACACACACACACACACACACACACACACACACACATTTCTCTTTCTCTTTTCTTTACTGGTGACAGTTTCGCCATAGTGGCTTTAATCCACTACGCTCCCAAACAGTGGGACACCAGGAAATATCAGAGAGGACTCAGTGGACATTGTTAAACGAAAGCTAAAGACACATCTTTTAGATTAGCTTTTTATTAGCAACCCCGTCCTTTAAATGTTTTCTTAGTCTTTATTATTTACCTACTTTTATATTGTTGTATTTATTAGTCTTAAAGGTGGGGTAGGTAATTTCGGAGAAACCAGCTCGAGTGCGTAGAATTTGAAAATACACAACCGGAGAAAATCTGCCACTTCCTTACAGAGCCCCTCCTCCAACACACACGAACGCGAACATGACCAATGAGGGCATGAGATAAGTTTGTGCCCCGATGGAAGGCTGACAGGCAGGTAGGCCATCCAGTTATTTTAGCCGGGCCGGCTAAAATGATTGGTCGTGCTTTTTACAGTATTACGGCTTCCACAGATGACATTTTTTTATGGATTTTTTGTCAAAGCACTTCTCTCCCTAGCCATGGTCTTTTCTCCTTAGCAACGGTCTTCTCGCCCTAGCAATGGTCTATTCTCCCTAGCAATGGTCTTCTCTCCTTAGCAACGGTCTACTCTCCTTAGCAAAGGTCTACTCTCCCTAGCAACAGTCTACTCTCCTTAGCAACGGTCCTCTCGCCTTAGCAAAGGTCTACTCTCCCTAGCAAGAGTCTACTCTCCTTAGCAACGGTCTTCTCGCCCTAGCAACGGTCTACTCTCCCTAGCAATGGTCTTCTCTCCTTAGCAACGTTCTACTCTCCTTAGCAAAGGTCTACTCTCCCTAGCAACAGTCTACTCTCCTTAGCAACGGTCTACTCTCCCTAGCAACGGTCTACTCTCCTTAGCAACAGTCTTCTCTCCCTAGCAATGGTTTTCTCTCCCTAGCAACGATCTTTTCTCCCTAGCAACGGTCTACTCTCCTTAGCAACGGTCTTCTCTCCTTAGTAACAGTCTTCTCTCCTTAGCAACGGTCTGTTAGCGAAAAATAGAAGACCTCTGGAATGGACCAAATTGACCAATCAAAATTGAGTTTTCAACTAAACTGTTTAATTGGAGTTCTTACCTTCACTGGAAGAGCCTGACAGGTCGATAACAACAAACACCTTCCCCTCCGGCTCCAAGTCGACCTAAACACACAGACAGAGAGAGAAACAGAGGGTCAGACGGGGGGTAAAAGGAGAGATTAGGAAGTAAAACACTTGAGATAAATAAAGCTGTCTTCACTTTATATCTTTGTTCAGAATCATAAACAGGTTTATTACCAGGTAGGTTAACACATACGAGGAACTTGACTTGGTGTTGTGGTGCATACATCAAATTATAACAAAAATTTAAAAAACAGATAACAAACTATTTCAAAAATATAGTAAAATATAGAAGTATTTACATTGAATATGGTTGGAATCGTAGAAATAGAATTGGAATAAAATATGTGAAGTAATGAAAAACAAGATATTGTACTGTTGGGATCCCCATTAGCATTGGCTAACGTCAACATTGTGGCGTTTCTTTAATTTCACTTTATATGCCACTCTCAAGTTATATGGGTTTAGTTGGAAATAATAAAACATAAGAGTAAACTCAACACTCAACTCAATTGATACACATAATTAAACTAGAATTACTTGGAAATAAAAGATCAATTACATACTGTATATTACATTAGATAAATAGATGCATTTCTTTCATGCAACCAATAAAAGTAAAATAAAGAAAGGAAGTCGTATCACAAGGATTATTTTACGTAGCTTTTGCATACATGCCCCATAATATGCCGCATGTTGGCATCGGAAAAAAATATTTTTTTTTAGGCCGTCCACCCCCTTTAAACCGTGTGATGGCTGAAATCTCTCGGTGTCAGAGCGGTGATGTGGTGACAAGAAGAGAGAGAAAGTTGGAGAGGAAAAAACACACAAACACTGTGGTGTGAAACTTAGAGGTTGACACATATCCTGTAACACCCACACATCATGTATACAACTCACACACTCACACACATACACACTCTCACACATAAACACACACACACTCATAATGGATTCAGAAAGCCGGAGAGAAGCTCAACAGAGTTAAGAAAACTGCTGCTCTCCAATCTATTAAGTCTCTGCGTGTGTGTGTGCGTGTGCGTGTGCGTGTGCGTGTGTGTGTGTGTGTGTGTGTGTGTGTATTCGAGCTCATCTTATAAAAGCAAGTGGGCATTGGTCGGGGGATCAGAGTTTTTTACCAGCAGCTTGCCTTGCACCACCTACATTGTCCATAATCCCCCGTTTTGCACACACACACACACACACACACACACACACACACACACACACACACACACACACACACACACACACACACAGACACACACACACACAGAGAGAACAGCACTAAGTGAAGGCGAACAGGCGTGGGTTCATAATGTATACAGAGGGAGATGGAAAGCAGAGAGACAGAGGGGGAGGACAGAGAAACTTTGTTGGATCGTTCCAACGTGAAAGTGCATGAGGGGGTTGGTTATTATTTACATTTTTATTAACACACTGTCTTTTCACATCCACTGTTTGCCTCTTCTATCAGGACTGGCACATGTCAGAGCTGCACAGAGCACTCTGAGTCTAACAGGATAATTATCCCCATCAATCTGCATTTTCTACGAGAAGCAGCGGAAGGAAGGAAGTTGTTGGAGCAGATGTACAGATGAGGCAGAATATTACCATCAATCTGGAAGAGAGAGTAATGAGGGCTCTGCTGCCAGGACTAGAATAAAGGATTTTAAGCAAGACAATGACGTGAACAGTGTCGAAGTGTTGGCGATTTTTGTTACCAGGAAAACTGTCTTTCTGTTAGAAATGGAGAGCAGGACAGGAGGTGTTTTAACACTTGCATTAGCGTTCTGTTTCTGCCTCCATAAAACATAAAACTATATTTATTTATGAGCATATTTATTTTTTAAATTGTTAATATGTGTTTCTTATAATTAATGTCTTTTATTTTAACCCAGGCTTTGACATATAGAGTAGAAATGGGATCTAAAAGGTGTGTGTGTGTGTGTGTGTGTGTGTGTGTGTGTGTGTGTGTGTGTGTGTGTGTGTGTGTGTGTGTGTGCGTGTGTGCGTGCATGTGTGTACACAGTGTCTGGAATAAAACTGAGCAAAGAGTTCAACAAAGTCATGTGCTTTCACTTCTACAGACTGTGGGTATGTGTGTGTATAGTGTGTGTTTGTGTGTGTGTGTGTGTGTGTGTGTGTGTGTGTGTGTGTGTGTGTGTGTGTGTCTGTGTGTGTGTGTGATAGACCTTGCAAGTGTAGACAAGACTACCACTGACCTTTATTATGTTTTTGTTAAGGAGCACACACACACACACACACACACACACACACACACACACACACACACACACACACACACACACACACACACACACACACACACACACACACACACACACACACACACACACACACACACACACACACACACACACACACACACACACACACACAGTCAGGCTGCAGGAGACACAATCACAACTGTGCTTCAAATCAATTAACCTTAATTGACCCCGGCTCCTGAGTGGTGCATTAAATCAAGCGCTCCCTCCTCACAAGTGAGCAGTTGGAGCATCACAGGAAGCAGCTTAGAGGGTTCTTATTTTGGGTATAAATCCTTTGTATTTGGGTATTCATGACAGTTTATTTTCATTCGTTTTTCGCTTTAAAGGACATGTATTTCATGTGACAAATGGAATGATTAAAAAACTGATATTGGCTATGAGCTATGTTTATTTTCTACCGTTGATTAAAATACAATAAATGAGTTTTTTCCATGTGTTTATGATTGTGATAAATATCAATCATCATTTTAGTATTGAACAGAATGACGGATCGTGCTAAAGCTACACCATTACACAACACACACACACACACACACACACACACACACACACACACACACACACACACACACACACACACACACACACACACACACACCCACACACACACACACACACACACACACACACACACACACACACACACACACACACACACACACACACACTGCTTCAGATGCATTAGGGCGGATGGACGTAAACCTGCTCAATCGAGTTAAATCCTGCAATTTAATTTGCCTTTGAGTGTGTGTTAGTGTGTGTGTGTGTGTGTGTGTGTGTGTGTGTGTGTGTGTGTGTGTGTGTGTGTGTGTGTCTCTATGTTCCCCATACATGAGCGTCCAGTTTCAGGATGTTCTCAAAAAAAGGTTAATAAATTAAATTTGACTTGACTTAAATGTGAAGCACACGAGACACACACACACATACACACACACAGATATCCCCACACACACACACACACACACACACACACACACACACACACACACACACACACACACACACACACACACACACACACACACACACACACACACACACACACACACACACACACACACACACACACACACACACACACACACACACACACACAGATCACCACATGATGGAGACCATGTGATGTTTGAAGCAGCTGTCCTGGACCTGCAGATCTGTGGAGAATCATCAGTAGTAGCAGACGATGCGTACAGGAGAGCAACCAATCAGATACTTTCCCTCTAGGTCATGGCCCTGCCCCTTTTTGGGGGCTAAAAGACACAGCTCTTAAGCTGTTAAAAGGACCGCCTGAACTCTCAATGATTCCTTATTTCAGTACGAGCAGATCAAAGTTACTGAATGTAAACATGTGTTTTACCAGCGCTGCGTCCACACACTTCCTCCACTGATAGGATTCAAGATTCAATTCAAGATTCAAGGCTTTTATTGTCATGTGTACATAGCTACAGTGGAGGCGTGTGGCGCAGTGGACTAGTACGTTGGTGTTCGGATTAGGGGAGCACAGGTTCAAACCCCACTGCAGTCAGCATGTCGTTGTGTCCCTGAGACACTTCACCCCAAATTGCTCCTGTGGGGATTGTCCACAGTACTGAGTATGTAAGTCGCTTTGGATAAAAGCGTCTAACAAGTGACATGTCATGTAATGTGTAGATATATCAATGAACATCTTAGGTCACAGGCTCCTCCAACAGTGCAACACAATAAAACGGATAAAATAGTGCAAATAAATACAAAGAGGTGTGACTACCTGATTTTACGGCAATCCAAACAGGACCTTTGACGTCCGACTGATCTAATAACAGTTTTATTCTTGAATCCACTTTTTTTATGAAAAGTAATTTCCCTTTTCCAGGAATCTCAACAGAAAAAGTTTGGCCAGACAAATAAATGAAGACCATTCACTGTTAAGAATTAGATATTAATTATGAATGCCATAAATGATTGCATACATTTACAGTTTCTTATTTGTCCAGTGTGAAGGCTGTCAAACAAGTTAAATCCATTTCTCACTGATCACTAAGAATGTTCTTAACCCACTAAAAGGATTTCTTCTCAAATAATCAGGAAATTACGTTGTAAAAACAATAACTCATCTCTCGTTCAGATTAATGTTGTCGGGTTTTTTATTGTTCTTTGCGAATCGCCGCTGTGTCGAATGTCCTACTTGGGTTGCCGTACGTAGCTGTGGGAATGAAGCTGAGCTACTAAAATCATGTTGATAAAAAAACATCACAATTAGAAACAGAAAGAAGTATTCAGGCTAATCTACAGCGAGCCGGTCACTAATGATGCTAATAGCAGGAGAGGACTCTTTAAAGTAGAGACACTACATACTGATATACACCTGAACATCAGCAGGAGAGGACTCTTTAAAGTAGAGACCCTACATACTGATATACACCTGAACATCAGCAGGAGAGGACTCTTTAAAGTAGAGACACTACATACTGATATACACCTGAACATCAGCAGGAGAGGACTCTTTAAAGTAGAGACACTACATACTGATATACACCTGGACATCAGCAGGAGAGGACTCTTTAAAGTAGAGACACTACATACTGATATACACCTGGACATCAGCAGGAGAGAACTCTTTAAAGTAGAGACACTGACTACATACTGATATACACCTGAACATCAGCAGGAGAGGACTCTTTAAAGTAGAGACACTGACTACATACTGATATACACCTGAACATCAGCAGGAGAGGACTCTTTAAAGTAGAGACACTGACTACATACGGA